GCTTTGTCGTCTTGAGCACTATCTTAGTGCTCCCCATCGCTCTCTGCCTAAACTCCCACCAACAAATAGGAGTCTGACATCTCCTCCTATATAAGAGCTCAAAGAGAGGCATCCCAATGCCAGTGCGTTGGTGAGCCTGAAAGACATCACCACGAACTCATAATGCCCATAACAAGTCCAAAAGGCCGTTATCTGTATATCCTCCTCATAGACCCGCATCTGATGATATCCAGCTCTCAAATAAATCTTGGAAAACCAAGACACTCCCTGCAACTGATCAAATAAGTTGTCGATCCTCTGCAACAGATAACGGTTCTTAACCTTCAACTTGTTCAACTGCTAGTAATCGATGCATATCTGTTGTGAACCATCGTTTTTCTTGACAAAAAGGATCGGTGCTCCCCACGGTGAACTACTCGGCCAAATGAAACCCTTCCCCAACAGCTCCTAATGCTGTGAGGATAACTCTTATATCTTGAGCATCACGAGATGATATGGTACCTTGGCAATAGGCATCGCCCCTTGAATCAAGTTGATCCGAAACTTCAGCTGCCTCTCAGGAGGCACACCTGAAAAATCCTCGGGAAAAACATCCAGGAAATCACATACCACTATAACTTCAGAAAAAGAAATCAATATCTCCTTGACAACCCAAGTATCTACTATATAAGCTAAAAAGCCCATACATCCCTACTGCAGACCCAGTCTTCCCCTGGAGGCCAAGAAGAAAGTGTTGGATTAGGTATCTAAGCCCATAACTATTATTGGTATGTACTTGAACCAAGAGTAGCATTGTCCATTTGGGTTGCATTCACCAGAACAATCTAATAGGATGGACATTTGAGAAAGAGGGTATTTATGATTTATTAATATATAATAAGTATAATATATTAATTGAGAAATAATATTATTTAATTAGTATTTATCAAGAATTAATTTAGTGATAAAAAAGACTAATTATTTTAACAGGGACCAATTATGTAAATTAGTAATACATATGGTTTCGGCTATTGATCCATGATGGACTAAGTTTATGTGATATTCCATGAAGATTTAGTCCACATGAGTTATGGATCATAAGCCTAAATGCAAGAATTAGGGTTAGATATGGGTCTTGGAATTCTAACACTATATATGTAACCCCTTATACCAAAAATCGGATTGACAAGCATAATAGCAAGGGTATAGCCGATTCTAGGGTGTTCCTAACCTTTCTCTCGCAATTCCTCCAATTGTTGGTGGTGTTTTGTGAAACATTTGATGTATCAAACTTGAGGTTTTAAACTCTTAAAGGCCAATTAATACAAGCTACATAAAAAGGTAATCATTTATCTAGGTTTTATGATTCATATATCATGTTGTATGCTAGATAAGGTTCATGCTTTGGAAAAAAAATGAAAATTTCATGTATAACTAGAGAAACATAGATCCGAAGTGTTAGGGTTGTTTGTGCACCATAGAGATGGTATAGTGCTCAAAACCCATCATTGGTATCAGATCATATGGTAGTTTTTTGTTATCTTGATGCATGGTTGATTTCTAAAGCTGAAGAAGTCACATTTCTGGCCTCTCACTCACAGACTGGCAACTCGACGAGTCTAGTTCATGCACTTGACGAGTAGAATCTTCTACAAGCAGATTCTCGAGTTTTTTTGGCTAGAATTGGATTAGGATCATTGCCACAAACAGTTTTATATCACAAAATTCCTTTTTCCTGATATGGTGACGATTATCCTCATCTAATTAAAGGACAATTATGAAATTTGAAGATAATATGTTGATTATTTGTATTATTTGATTTGAATTGCCTTGCTATGTGAGTTAGATTAGATCAACTTGGTAAATAGTAAATTGTATGATAATTTAACTAGTTATATTTGATCTAAATGTTTCTTGAAGAGTTTCATAACTTGTCCTCAAGTTATGAAATATGAAAATTTTCATTCATGAACATTACACTCATAAGTTATGGAAACAAAAAGTTGTGAAGAGTTACAAAACTTTCCCTCGAGTTTTGGAATTTGTAAAGTCTCACTTATGAAACATTTAATTCCAAACATTAGAATTTTAAAAATTTAAAATTGAACCCTTATATTATTATAATATTAAAAGTTTATACGTATATATATATATATATATATATATATATATATATGTATGTATAAGACAAGTCAGTGTTACCATTAGTAGGCCTCATTCTCGTAGCTGATCTATAAGGGGGTATAAGGAAATCGCCTATAAAATGGCGATTGAATGGCTGTCCACTCTCACCCACCGCTTCCTTGACTAGTGGAGGGTCGTTAGCCGAACGGGTAGGATACAACATTAATTCTCATTAAAAAGTATAATGATAACTATAAAGTAACTAAATGTTTTATAAATTACCAATCTTAGTTACTTTAGGAAAAATGTGAAAATGATGCTATTCAAGGAAATTGCACCTTGCCAAGTCGTTATTGGAGTGTGTGGTTAACTGGCAAACTAACTTGGACTAACAAAGGTGGAAAAGGGTAGCTTGATGTTAATCGTAGATCAATGGAGCGTGTGTGGTTAACCAACATATTGATTAGATGATAAATGACATCGAGAGTACCAAGTATATTTGCATGGTTATTTACATCTTCTTTGTGATCCTCGGTATCCTAGTCATAAATTTGAAGGCCGTAATCGAGATTTAAACATATAATTGAAAAGTTCAATGAATCTCAAAAGAATCTAGGAATTTCAATTCATTTAAAACTTAATCATCAAGTTTCATTTTTCATGGTGGAAATTGGTAAATCATCATTTACCTACCTTCAAATATTTTGCAATTGGATTACGACATCCCCTTTCTGAATTGTAAAATATTGTGTTAGGTCCTAGCCTTAATATTTCATTTGGGTGTTATATTAAGGATTCTTATCTAATCTAAACTTTATCTTCTTTTTTCAGATGTCTTCCAACACAGCTTCTGGCTCAAACCCTTTTGGCTCTTTCTCCCTCATGAACTTGTGTGGGAGGGTCATCTTTGATGGTTCGAACTTCAAAGAATGGATTCGAAACATTAGGTTCGAACTTCAAGGAATATGTCCTCAACAAAGCACCTAAGGAGATTGATGAAGCCACTGCTAGAGGTTGCTGAGTATAGGGCACATGAGAAAGATGCCACACAAGTGTCTTGTATCATGCTTGCTAATATGACAACTGAACTTCAAAAGTCCTATGAGGACTACTACCCTTTCGAGATGCACCAAGACTTGATGGAAAGATACCATCAATGTTCTCTTCAGGAAATGTATGAAATCATTGCCTTCATGATTACAACAAAGATGAAGGATAGAGAGTCCATCACGGCCCATTTGCAGAAAATAAAAAAGGTTTATGGACCGCTTGTTGAAGTTGAATGTCAACTTCGATAAAGAGTTGGCCATTGACATTATTCTACACTCTTTACATCCTTGTTATGATCAGTTTTGCACGACTTATCCAATGAACAAGGAGGACGTCACTCTAAGAAAGCTTCAAGGCCTATTGAGAACTACTAAAAGTAGTTTGAAAGGAAAATCTATTGTTCCTACTCCTACTGCTGCTGCTGCACCTATTCTGGCGATTAGACATGAGAAAGGGAAGAGGATGAAGGCTCCTACTAAGAGCAACAAGGGAAAGTCCCATGATGGATCCTCTTCTAGTGGAACCAAAGGTGCTTCTTCTACTCCCTCTTCTAACCAAAAGGAAGAAGAGTGCTTCTACTGTCATGAAAAAGGGCACTGGAAGCAAAGCTACCCAAAATACTTGCAAGACATCAAAGATGGGAAGACAAAGCCAACCCATGCATGTATTTACACTATTCTATCTAATAACTCATCACGTGCTAATTCTTGGGTCCTTGATACAAGTTATAGTTTTCACATTTGTTCTGATTTGTAGGGACTAAAAAGATGTAGGGATGTGGAGCACGGGAAGATTAACTTAATCATGGGGAATAGGAAAGTGTCGCCTGTCACAAAGATTGGAGTTTAATCTTTATTACACTACTAGGAAAACAGCCTTTTACGACGTTCATTTCGCGTCGTAAAAGGCTCAGACGACGAGCAAATGTGCGTCAAGGAAGGCCCTGTCGTAAAGAGAGACAACGCGCATTTACGACGCTCATTTACGACGCGCGTTTACGACACGCAATGCGTATCAAGGAAGGCCCTATCATAAAGGAAGACGACACACATTCGTGTGTCGTAACCTTATGACGCACGTGTTAATGACACGCAATGCATATCATGAAAGCCCCTGTCAAGAAAGGCCATGTCATAAGTGAAGATGACACACATTTTTGCGTATCATAATTTTAAATGTTTAAAAAAATATTATTTATAGATTTGCTTATTTTCACATTAAATTTGTATTTAATGTTTCATAATAGAAAATAAAATAACATATACAAAAAATAGAATCCATTTCATAAATTTAATGTTATACAAATAATTGTTCCATGGAAAGATAAAACAAATATAAACCATGATTGGATAACATCAAAGGAGCAAAAGTAATTACATTGACTGACTATGCAGTAAAAAGATATGTATTGCTTGAATTATGTTATACTAAATCAATATGAACCTTTTGCTGATGAGAATGCTTTTGGCAAAAAGAATTCACTCTATCAAGAGCTTTTTCAAGAGAAGATGGGACTGCAACAAAAGTTACACAAATCCAATTTTTCAAACCTACAGTAAGTCCTACAACACCCAAGAAGAAATATATTTATTAGGTCATTATAAAATTCAACAAAATGTTACAAAAGGATTGTAATCACCTGGAAGAAGAATCATGGATTCCTATTTGGCTAGCTTGAAACAGAAGTCTATATCATCACTAATATCTTTTAGTAAAGAAACATTCAGTAAAACCTACGCAAAACAAAAGAAACAATGTTAACAAAACTTGAAAAGTATTTACCATTAAATTTAAACCAAAACACCTAAACCCTTACGATAACAGCCATAACTCACAGTGGTTTTTCATTATGCTAAGAATTCTTGTAAAGAAAATTTCTTCATATCCTCAAGGATCCCAGGAACACAGCAAGAAACTACCTAAAATACAAAAGAAAGATTTAATTACTAAATTAAGAATTTATAAAATGGGACAATATGGGAGTTGGGAAATACCTTGTCATCATCTTGCAACATCATTCTGCTACTCAAAGATGAAACCATATGTTAGTATTTATATTATACCTCAAGGTCACCATCATGTTCACTCATGTCAAGGCCATGCAATAGCATGCTGCAACATAACAAAAAGTTCATAAAGAATGATATGAGAGGATTTTTTATAAAAAATGATTATATATATATATATATATATATATATATATATATATATATAATTCCTTCCAAAGGACACTTTTATGTCCTCTTCGAATCCGACATTGGTTATTGACATAGGCTGAGGGATTAAAGTAGAAGCTGACAGTTTTTGACCATCGCTATTTTTCTGATTAAAAGAAAAAAAGTGATAGGAAGTGAGTTTGGTTATTTAATCATAAAAATAAAATCTTGTGGTGACAATTTTTGTTGGATTCTTTTATTCATTGTTTCATTTTTTTTCTACTTTCCCTAAATTTTTTTGTAAGCAAATTTATAGGTGATCAAAAAGATTTTTGAATTCTACGACCCAATTAAGTTTTCATTTTTTGTTTACAGTCATCAAAAGCTTATAGGTAGTCAAAAAGTTTATTGTTTCAATTTGATGTTGTTTACAAGAAGGAAGTGGTAAAATTGATGTAAAATGGATCAGAAGTTGAGTAGGGAGACAATCAACATAAGCTAATTTTTTACAGAAATTTGACACTTTGATACATGGAACACTAATCTCATTCAGCCCTGATGTGAAATTGATGATGTCTACTTCATGTATAAGGTTGCAAGATTTTGGCAAAGAGATTCAGCAAGACCAACAAGATGATATACATAAGGTAATTCTAAGACCAAGTTACAGTCCAATGGATAAAAAAAATATGAATGTGACCAGATTTCTACTATTCTAATAAGGTAATATTTTTATAAGCTAATGGGTTGGCTTATTATTTGTTTTTTTGTTTCAGTCACTGAATGTGAGCATTCACCTGTTGTAAGGTATCATGCTGCTATTTTTGCAATAGTTCAATCTTATTATCAACATCAGGTGTTTTCTGTTTTACTTTTCCCCATTTCCAGTTACAATTTAACTGATACCATTAGAAGTGTAGTTTTTTTTCTTTTAGAGAACATATAATGAAATATCTTGTAAAAAGACTTAGAACTAAATGCTCATTACATCTTAAATAATGCATGGTTTTTTGTCTTCCTGTTCCAAAATTGGTGGACGTAATGGTTTGCCACACTACCCATATGGATCAATATCTTATAAAATATTATACATATCAACTGTTTGACAAAATGCCATGCCTATACCATTTATGATCTTTAGTCCTTTTGATCAATACTAAATTTGAAATTAGACATAAACAGTAGCACCGACGCCCTGCCAAAACAATAAAAATGATGACCACTATTTTCATGAAATTTTTTCTTCATATGAATTCCTTCTACATAGGGCAATTAAGCAAACTAACTAGACTAAGTTGACATGGTTTCTAATTGGAACTAGTTTCTAGATGATGAATGGAATATAAATTTAGCAAGTAGGGTTTTGAACAACAGATATGTTGTTACCTTAACGAGGCCAGGTGGACCAATGATAACAAGATCTTCTAGAGCTTCTACTTTGTCTAGTGATAAGGTGTTGTATAACATATCAACATCCTCAAACTCATCAAAATCCTCCTGCATATGAAATGGTTTGTTGTGGTTTTAGATGCTTTGTGAAAAGTGAAAACCCAAGATTCTTTTATCATCAATGAATTCCTTATTTCGTTCCACATAGTGGAGAGAACCTTAAAGAAACTATTGAGAAAATGTGAAAAGGAAAAAAGTATATGATGACCTGATGTCGTTCCACATTGTCATCAATGATGTCCTCAACTCTAGCTTCATTATATGAGCCTTATGTCGAATAATTGATGAATCTAAATGTGTCTATCAAACAAAAGAGTGAAAGACATCCATTAAATTATCAAATGTAAGGTAGATACTGAATAATGGCGATTGATTGAGTGAATGTAGTAAATAAAGCATACCTGTATAGAGTTGAAGAAATTAGAAAACGAATGCTTTTTTGATTGGAGGGAGATGAAGAGAAGAAGTTACCAGAATAAAACGACGACAAAAACTGCGTTTCTGTAGAAATAGTAGAGGATCATGTAACCCATTCTTTGGTAATTCCAGTGTCCAGGGACTAACAAAATAGGGACCAGAAAACGGAATTGAGCCATGGCAAAATCCGATGACATCACACACTACTAAAAGTTAGCCCAACAAAAGAACTACATTGCAGAGTCACTTGTAACATTGGTAAAGATTAATACATACCCTGTGCTCTATACAACCTGACCAACAGTTGCAACAGAAACCTCACGTTTAGTAACAGCAGCTCCATCTAACAAAGCTTCAACAGTTCTTGGCATAAGTTCATGGATATATTATCTCATAACAAAAGCACCCTACACATATACAAGTAAGACCCAACAAATCAAACATTTTACACTTAAGAGAACAAAAAAATGTAACAATCTCCTACCACTCTAACAAGATATCCCACAGTTACAAGAACACCACTGATGGTGCCATTGTTTGCATTCACTTATGCTGTTCCTTCACATAGTTTAGCCAAAAGCGCCTGAAATATGCCACGTTAGCTTATAGAATAACTAAATATGCATATATATGTATATATATATATATATATATATATATATATATGTGTGTGTGTGTGTGTGTGTGTGTGAAAGTTTAAATAGAACTTAGGGTAGGATTGCTTCCAGTTGTGAAAAAGCTTATGGATTTTAGTGTTTCAGATCTGAGTATACAAACCCCACCTCACTATATAAACCAAATCATCAGCATCCATACACCAAGGGTATAATCATCATTTAACTCTTACATGCTTAAGCCAAAGCATAAGACTGAATGTATCAAGTCATTAACTCTTTACCTTATGTAACTTATATCATGTTCAAATTGATGATATTATGAAATTTGTTAACTGGAATGTAAAGGGTATAATGGTCATTTTCTCTTTACACCAGAATTGAAGAGATGAAAATTATTTACCTCAATAGAGACATTGGTCTTAACCTGATTGTCCAGAGCTTCAGCCATTGACTACGACCAATGAAACATGAAGTGATAATGATATCTCACAGATTAAATAATCATCAAAACACATACTACCTTCACACTAAATTAACATATAGTTAAAAAAAGAATAAGAATAAGAAGAAGCTCTGAAGAGTTAAGAGACCTTATCAAACTAAACAAGAAATTGAATAGCAAGCTCAGGGTCAATAATCCCACTGAACAAGAACTTGAATAGCTAGTCTGGTACGTATAGACTCTGTATAAACTTTGTAAAAATCGACTACACAAACAATCATTCTAAAAGATGATTTCAAATTGAGTATTATATACAAAATTATAGTACTTAGAATAAGAAATTAAACATTAGTGTGTAAGATGATTCAGTGAATTAGAAGAATTAAGAGTCTAAGAATCGATATGGAAATAGTCGGCAGTTTCCCGCCATTCCATAAAATCGGCGTACTAATATCAGAAATCGAAATACCAATTTCAGAAATTGAACCTAAAATCATGTTTTGGAACTATTAGATTACTGAATCAAACTTGTTCCAGATTCCAATTGGGAACTATCTCGACACCGTACCAGTTTGCGATCCAGGTCACATTCGGAACACTTTCGTACACGATTGGGTACAAAACGATTTGGTATGCATTTCATGGCCTTCTGAGCGAATTAGGTAACTATGATACCATCTCATCCAAAGTTTCAGTCAAACACCTTATTCATGATTCTAAGATAGTGGCATGTGACTCAGTTACATAGATATTAAAGAGAAGAATTTGGAGAAGGGTGAATTGAACACCTTAATCTTTTTGTCTAATTTACACCTTACCTAATCATTTGAAACTCAGATCCATTGGTGTATGCATGACTATCTCACATCATTTATTTATCACTCAGACTCATAATTAGGCGTTACAGCGTGATTCTAGGTTGCCACTTCCAGCTCCTCTGCATATGTAATCTAGAAACTGAAAGTATTAGGCTTAAAATTGATATGTAAAAGATGAGAAGATGAGAAGATATATGTACCATGGCATTAAAATTGATACAAACCTTTGTTGTTCAAGTATGGATGTTTGATATGGGTGTTCTGGTCATCAATCTCATTTTGTTGATTTGTCAGACCATCTGCTGATAGACTCATGCTTGCTGCTAGGTCGGACGGTTCAGATGGATCAGATTTAAACCTGCTTCCGGCGGCAGGAATGCGAGGATTAGTTAACCTTGCCACGATTTGAGGTTTGGGAGTGGTGCTTCTAGACAAAGAACCACCGAGTGTAGATGCGTAAGTAAGAGAAGCTGATGACATCACGTGAGGATGGTTTGGGCTCGAAACATAAAGATTACATGGAAACGTGATCTTCGTGAAGACCAAAATACACAAAGAAATAGTGTGTTCGTCGCCCCTTATGTGTTTTGAACCAGACGAGAGGGATGAGATGGAAATACGAGAGTGAGAAAGAAAAAATTAGGGTCGGATTTAGGAACCTTAAATCATCGGCTCAAATTGATAACTGGGAGGTAAGAACCCTATATCCTCAGCTTATTAGTGTTGAATTAAGAGTATAAGAACTTGTTGGAACCGAGAATTAGGTTTTTGGTGGAGGTGATGGATCGAGGAATTGAGTAAGTTGTGGATGAAGACGAAGGCCCAAATTAGAAGAGGCGGGGAATTTTTGAGATGAATAGGCGGGGGTTAATTTTTTGGATTTGATTTTCTCACTAAAAACGCGTGTTTCCAAAAAAAATATAAAGCGACACAGTTACATGACACACATCTTTTGATAGGTGCCCTCCATATTTCTTTTTGTTTTTCTTTTCTGACACTAATTTTAGGGTATGCAAATATGCGTGTCCTTTACCCTTCAAATTTTGGAAAACTAACATTAATTTTTAGGGCACGCTCAAATCCACGTCCTCTATCAGTGTGTATCATTAAATGCGCGTCGTAAAAGGTTATTTTTCTAGTAGTGTTACTTAGTAGTGAGTCAGAATTAGATTTGAATAATTGTTTCTACTCGCCCGATATGGCGAGAAACATTATTTCGTTTGATGGTTTGTATAAACAAGGTTTTAGGTTTTCATTTGATAATGAAATTGGTTCTATTGATGCTTTTTATAATGGTATATTTTATTTAAAAGCATTGCCTTGTAATGGTATATATGAAATTGTGATGGTTGTAGACAACTTAAGAAATAATGTATTGCACATTGATTGATCCAAAGGTTTGGGCAAGGCATCCTTGTGGCATTGTCGTATTGGACATATAAACAAGAAGCGCATAGCCTAACTCCAAAAAAGATGGAGTCTTGTAGTCATTCGACTTAAACTCGGATGACACTTGTGAATATTGTTTGCTTGGGTAGATGACGAACTCAGCCTTTACTGGTACTTGTGAAAGGGGTGAGGGTCTTTTGGATCTCATACACACTGATGTGAATGAAACCTTCAAATCTGCCACAAGGGATGCTAACCGCTTCTATGTGACTTTTACTGATGATTACAACAAATATGGCTATATCTACATAATCAAGCATAAGTCATAAACCTTTGAAAAGTTCAAAGTGTTTAAATAAGAAGTGGAGAATCAGTTGGGTAGGAAGATAAAGATGCTTTGATTCGATCAAGGTGGTGAGTATCTTAGTATCGACTTCCAAGATTATCTTAAGTAATATGGAATTGTTTCACAATTGATGCCACCTAGGACACCACAACTTAATGGTGTGGCTGAGAGGCACAATCGAACCTTGTTGGACATGGTTCATTCCATGATGAGTCGAGCTTCGTTACCCTCTCTCGTTTTGGGGTATGTCACAGAGATTTCCGCCCATATCCTTAATCTAGTCCCAACTAAGAAGGTTACCAAAACACCTCACGATATGAGGAAATGGAAGGTTCCCTCATTAGCACATATCAAGGTTTGGGGTTGCGAGGCTTTCGTAACACAAGGGACTCACGACAAGCTCCAACCTCATAGTGAGCGATGTATTTTCATCGGCAACCCACATAAGTCCTTTCGATATCTTCTCTATAGACCGAGTGACAAGGTTGTATTCATTTCGAGGAGAAGGGTTTTTCACAAAATAGAACTTGTATGCCAAGAGGAGAGTGTGAGGCAAATTGACCTTGAAGAGCTTCAAGAGTTAAGTGACGAAGGAACCTCAAACACTAGCGCTTAACTCAAGGAGGAAACTCTTGTTGAACCAATTGGGGAGTCCTTACCTCTGAAATGTTTCAGTAGAGGTAGTGTTCCACTTATGTTATATGGTTTTCATATAACAAATGAAGGTGATACGTTTATCAGTGATAGTACTGATGGGTTTTGAGAACTGTAACATCCATATGGCGCACATACAACCCTAATGATTTTGATCTATGTTTTCTCTAGTTATACATGCAATAAACAATTTTCCAAAGAATGGAGCCTAACTTGCATACAACTTGATTTATGAATCATAAAAAACTAGTAAAAATATTACCTTCTCTTGTAGCTTGTTGTATTTGGCCTTTAAGAACTTATCACCTCAAGTGTGATGCCTCAAATGGTTCACAACACACCACCAACAATTGGAGAACTTGAGAGATAGGTTATAGGCACTCAAGAATTGGCTATAATATCTCTAAGATCACTAGTCTCTCCATTCTAGGCCAACGGGTTACATATATACAATGTAGAATTCTAAGGGTTATGTGTAAACCCTAATTCTTACAATTAGGCTTGTAATGGACTAACACTATATGGATTCTTTCATAAGCTTAGCCTATCACTAATCAATCATGGATTATTAGCCCAACTATATATATCATAGACTTACACAATCAACCCGTGTAAATTTAATTAGTTTCTTTCAATCACTAAATTAATTCCACATTAATCCTTGAACAATACTTATTAATATGATTCCTTAATTAATATTGTAAGTCCTTAATTTGTCCGTGTATCAGTCAGATCCGTTTGATGGTGCGGAATCCCAATCAAACGGATGATGTAAGATAAAAAATAGAAGAGAAGGAGAAGAAGAATTGATATGAATCTTGTATGTATTGATATGAATTTTAATCCGGATACAAAAGATTCACACACGATTTCTCTCTCTGGCCGTAAACTACTTCGTGTTCATCAATCACTACTCCTCACCCTAACACCTCTATTTGTACTAGGGAACATGGGCCGGAAACAAATGGGCTGTAAATGAGGTTACGGCCGTAAGGTGTTTACGGCCGTAAACTCAGCCGTAAACTAGACCAAAAACTCCACAATTATTACACAAAAATACAATGCCCAGAAAAGTAAAGTATAAACCATATTTTGACCCAACAAT